CATCTCGAATAGCCCTGCTAATTTGCGGGAGGTGAAAATCTATGTATTATAATCTAAGATTTAATAAAGCTTGTTGTTGTTGTTGTTAAAAAAAGAACTATTAACCCGAAGCTAATGTTCAAATTTCTGTTATTTTGCAGCCTTTTAATTCCTAAATCGTCAGAAAAGACCCTTAATGATAGGTAAGTTTACTGCTATTGACTTTTTAAAAAGGTTGTATACGGGCAGGCTCCGCCCCATCTTTGACAGAAAAGGTAGTTACCCTTTCATATACCTTCCATAGAAAATGGTACCCCTTAAGCTTTCACATACACTGCATCCCTTTTACGACTTTACTAAACTTTTTGCTTGAGTAGCCCCTTAAAATACTTGGATGAATCAGCCGTTAGGTGTATCTGTTCGAGATATTTTGAAAGGCCCTTTTAAACACCTAAATGACAGTTTTCCCTACCCTTTTTCTATGCTTCATCATGTGAAATCTCTACCTTTTATATACCTCCAGCCTGAAAAAGGCCCCCCTTTCGGGCGGAGCCTCCCCATATAGTCCATTATAGGGAGAACCCCCCCCCCCCCCCGGATACAGGCATCCTAAACTTCTAGTGAGAGGAAAACAATCCCCACAGAATAAACCTCTATTGATTGTATTCCAAACATCTCAGTTCCTATAAAACTGACATTGAATGCTACTCCTGTCTCACCGCAGTGACATTGTTTATGAGGATGCTGATGAAGTCAACTTTGGCGCTTATTTGAAGCATAGAAGAGTCGAGAGATGGACACTTGAAGGTATGTTACATGAACAAGAAGGCACAGGTTCATATGAAGTGTCAGTCAACATTTTAGTGATCACTCAAAAACATTTGTCGTGTTTGCCAACATTTGTTGGTTCATAATTTTATAGCTACATGTATTATAGCAACACATGTAAATCAGCCGATTCCACAATCTCGTACCCAGAGTCAACGGTCTCCTCGGACAGCGGATCGTCGCCAGGTTAGACTCTGGGGGAATGGAATTTTGAATACCAGAAATCTGGTGTAACGGCCATTGTTTGTTACACGAGACAGCCAATCAAAAAATTCGAGATTTATTCCATTCCCTTAGAGTCTAAACTGGCGACGACCCGCTGACCGAGGAGACCGTTGACTCTGGGTACGAGATTGCCGATTCCAATGTTTTAGAGTGGTTTTCAATTGAGTGTCGTAAAACCAAAACCAAAGCAATTACAAAACGAACCAATGAGAACTCAAAGCAAATACACTTCTTAACCGGTGCCAGGCGCGGGAAAACGCATGTGACAAAGTCACGATTGGTTTTGGTTTAGCATCTGATTGGTTGAGTAGGTGGCGCAAGTTTTTTAAACCAATCACAGAGCGTAGTAAAGCAAAACCAAAGCAATTCAGCGATTTATTTGGACACTCAATTGAAAACTGCTCAAAATTAACGTGGTTGCCTCTTGTCTCTAGAAACACAGACGTTCTACAAGGCGCTCAGCCAAGTTGGAACAGATTTCAGTCTGATGGGGCCACTTTTTCCCAGCAGAAAAAGAAGAGAGCTAAAGGTTTGTGGCTGTTGTACTTTGAACTGGAAAAAAGGTTGTGTTCAGCTGTTTGCTGTTGGGTGTTTTGTTTGTTGTTCCATTAAGGTTGGCAATGAGTGCGTGCAACAGAGAATTATGTGAGAGTCTGCTTGAAAAGGAATCTCATTCCGGCCCTATTCTCCCAAACCCCCTTCCCCCACCATGGTACAAAAATTGAAGTCAAGTCAGAACATCAAGTCAGTACAGTATCTTCCTGCATCGCTCTTTCCAGCCCCCCTTTGCCGCATTACCTGATACAGGTCCGTTTACTCACGGGTTGCTGTCCTTTTCTCCCCCAGGGGCTCCCTAGGCCCTTCACTTCCCTACGGTATGCACCATCCCTTCCCTCCTCCCCTCCCCTCACTTCCTCCGTCCCTTCCTCCCTTCCTCTCTCCCTCCCTTCTTTGTCTAAATTGATAACTAATTGTTTTTTTTGGGGTCACTTTTCAGGCCAAATTTAAACGAGAAGAGAAGCAGCACAGGAGCCTTGTGGAAAAAGCGCTTCGTAAGCATGTAGTCTTGATTCTATTCTAAAATATCGACTCGAGTGTAGAGCTAACTGCTGCATAAAGGAAACTTTTCCACTACAGTAAAAACCCGCAAGTAAGAACCTGCATTTTCCCAAGTTAGCCTAAACAGGTTCTTACATAAATGGTAATTAGCACAAATTTAGGCTATTTAGGTTCTTAAATAGGTTCTTATTTTCTGAAGAAAAAAATTACATTGTAGCTAATAGAATTTAGTGGTATTCAGCCTATTCCTTATATAAAATCTGCATACCAAGTATTTATGTAAAAATGACTATAATTGACGCAGTGTACACATTTTTTTATATAGATTTTAGAAAATAAGAACCTGTTTCAAATTTTAGGCTAAACAGGTTCTTGTATAGAGGGGGTCTAACTGGCAAATTTTAGCCTAACAGGTTCTTAAAAACTAGATTCTTACTTGCGGGTTTTTACTGTACAGTTGAACCTCTCTACAGTGACCACCTTGCGGGCAGTTACCTGTGTTTACAATAAAGTTATTGTTTGTAGGGATTTAGTCTTGCAGTATTTCTGTAGGCCGTGGTAGGGAGGTTTCAATAACAATAAAGTGTATGGATCGACGTACGGTCGGCACGAAAAATCCTGGCCGTTTTAGAGAGGTGGCCGTTAGTGGAGGTTCGACTGTAGTTGAGAGGTACAATTTGTGTGACTTTTACAAGTGGCTGCTTTAATACAGGCCCGATTAGTGAAAAATAGAACGTAAAGCAACTTCATTCCTACACAGTTTGTGTTTAAACCCTGGGGCCCGTTATATGAAACAAATATAAAATTAACAAAGTTTTACGAATCCCAACTTGTAGGAGATTAACCAGTTAGCTATTTGCTTGGCATGACCGAGGAGTTGAACAAATAAAGACGGACGGCTTGAATCCGGGACCTCCGGATTACAAGACCAGCTCCCTAACCACTCGGCCACGCTGCCGACTGCGAGTCACGCAGCCGACTGCGAGTCACGCAGCCGACTGCGAGTCACGCAGTACCTTTTGCGTAGCCTGAGATCAGGCTCCTAAAGAAAAAGCGCTGCCTGGGGCGGGAACGTTCCCGCCCCAGGCAGCGCTCAGCTTGCTTCGCTCGCCGAGTTTCTTTAGGAGCCTGATCTCAGGCTACTTTTGCGAGTTAGCCAGTACGTACTGCTAGTCATGCAGTGCTTACTGCTAGTCACGCATTGCCTACTGCTAGTCACGCAATGTCTACTGTGAGTCACGCAGTGCCTACTGCTAGTCATGCAGTGCTTACTGCTGTGCCTACTGCTAGTCACGCAATGTCTACTGCTAGTCACGCAGTTTCCCTTGGTTTGACTGCATGTCCTTTGTTTCCTGCAGGCCTTCGCAATCCCATTGATGTGGAGTTGTTTACTCCTAAAGTGGACGGAGAAGAGATCGACGATGATGTGACAATTACTGACAAAACCAGCTCTTCGCATTCGACACAACAACTGTAAAACCATCTGAAAACTAGTGCTTGTACCTTGTTCTGTCACAACACCGTCTTCAAGAAGTGAACGAGCCCGCGGTTTTCAGCGGGGTTGTCGCTAAGCAACATGACGTATTCTGATGACAACAAGTTCACGTGACAACTTTCAAAGTGCTCGTAATATTTTCTGATTGGACGATAAAAATCGGAAACTCTTCGGAAACGGCACTTCCTGATCTCTCTCCGGACAAACCAACTCGAGAGCGACCCGAATCGCGAGGGCAATGCCTGGGAGAGTTTGGCTGCGCAAGCTGCAAGGCTGACGCTTTTCAGTACGCAGAGAAGATGTATGTTCGAACTGATGTACAGTGAAGTGGAACCGCAAACAATTGAGGTGCTTTGCACTTCAGAATCCGGTCTTGTTAGGCCGCTTTGCAGCTCGAAGGAGTCACAATAAAAGAAAGTTAAAAGCAATCATTGAATAGTACACAGTCTATGATAGGCCATGATAGCTGAAGCTCGCGCTCCCGTTTGACCACCAACTATCATGCATCATGGCACCCAGGGTAGTACCTCTTGGGGGTGAAAATTAAATCAAGCCACGCCCACAAAACGAGATTCTGGTACTTTTAGGGGTGCTTTTCCAAAATTCATACGATCACCTCCATCACTTTTATATGGGATTCCCCCGGGGGCCTGCTCTTCGTATTCATCTCTTGGACAAAGATTGTCAGAACTGAGAGCAGGACGAGTAGGATGAATCGATCGGCTTGATGCGCAGCCCATGATGGCTAGGTTTATTGCAGTCTCGTTCCCAGAGTCCTCGTTACCCTTGTCCAGCGGTGGAGCACAAGGACCTCTGGGGGAAGCGATCAAGAAGCGATCCGCCATAACAAGATTCTTGGACTTCCGGTTCTACTGCGCATGTTTTCGACCCCATGTTTCAACTAACGGACGCCAGGATTCTTGGACTTCCGGTCTTACTGCGCAAGTCAGGCGGATCACTCTATTCCAGAGGTCCTTGTTGCCGCTCCACCGCTGGACAAAGGTAACGAGGACTCTGGGAACGAGATTGGGTTTATTGCTGTTTGTCAGGCGGTTTAAGTGTTTTTTACAGATTTTTACAACCGCATCTGCCGCGACGAGATCACTATCTGACCTTTACTAGTCAGGCGCGGTGTTTAAAGATTCAAAATTTACGTGCGTCACTAGGGAAAAATACAGTTTGTTTTTGCGACATCTGTCCTCAAAGCAAGACCACTCCCTTGTCGCCTTTGTAAGGCTTCGCATGTTTTCAAGATGGAAGAGACCGTTCATGCCTTTTACATTAGGTGAATCAGCGAAGAGCGGTCTGTGTGACGATGCTGCGAACATGTGATTTCTCCAGAAAAATCGTTTCGTTTAGCTTCGCCGCGTTATGAATTGGACTATTTTTCAGATAATGCAACCAGCTCCCAGTTGGCTTGATAGCTCAGTTGGTAGAGCACTGCACCAGTAGGTATTGCCGCAGAGGTCATGGGTTCGAATCCCGTTCAAGCCTGAATTTTTTCAGGCTTTCTTTTGCGTACATAACGGCGATGATCTTTCATAAATTAAAATGTTACGGAACACTTTTCGGTAAAAAGTAGATTTCAGTTCATTTCACTGAAAATAAACAGCGCAATCTTCTTTAATCCGGTAGTAGTTGTAAGGTGTTCTGCACCTGTTCTTAGAACAAAGCCTTTGAATAAGAAATGAACTGTTGGTTCTAAGGGCGTGAAAAGTAATATCCTTAGAATTTCTTCTATTTGCTTAGCTTACGCATAGCTAACTATGGCTTACGCAAGTCAAACTGAGTTGTCGAAATACTATTGGCTACAACGTATTTATGACAATTTTACTTTTGTAATAGCTTTGAGTTCAGCCTGTACTTGAGTGAGTCAGGATCATCATTAGACACCATGTTCCTTGATGATGTTTTGGTCCACTTGATATAAAAGATCCCGGAGAGTAGCAGGGCACCTCCCACCAAACCATGGAGTTCAATTACCCAAACGTTCCTGTTACAAAAAGATGCGATTCGCTAAACTTTGAAACTAAACTGTTTGTTTAAACCACTTTTATTAAACTTTCACATTGATCATCGACCAACTTGAAATCCCCATGCGCGAGATTTCAGGTGTTGACACAACCTCGTTCCCAGGGTCTCTTTTCTTCCCGCCAAACGCGAGAGACCCTGGGAACGAGGTTGGTGTTGACACCATTTTCCAACATATTGCCAGAAGAACTTTTAGGGGGATTCGTGTTCGTCTAAGCAATGACTCGAAGATTTACTTCAGTTCTGGTGTATTTAATGAGATTCTTGGCTTGATACAAAGGTCAAGGCTACAGTGTTGTGATAATGGCAAGTCGCAGAAACTGGTAGCTGGTAGCCTTAAACAATTTAAATCGTTTTTAAAACTCCACATGAACATTGATTAGATAGCTATTTTAAATTTTCCATACATAAATCCATGCGTTAATATTCAGTCCTATACAAGCTTTGAATTATTGAAATTATTACATCCTTTTTTACTATTTTTATGTTAGGGGATCCTTAACACAGGGTTAACCTTTGGATTTCCTGTTCAAGAATTTATTTGTATATCATTTTAACGAGTTTTTGAATAAATTGTTATTATTATTATAATGGTACAGAACTTCGTTGTCGTCCCCTTTTTACATTGATCGGTTCGAGACGTCAGCAGTCGCATTATCAACTGTCATTTAAGGTTGGCAACTGAGGTAGTCGGCCAATCCGATAGCTGAAACCAAAACTAGGAGTGCCGTTTTCGCTAGAACGAAAACCAATTTACAATTTTCGTTAACGTCTCTCAGTTCCCCAATCAATACAAAACGACTACGACAATACAAGAGCCACAAAGATCATTTCTACCAAACAAAATTCACAATAAATAACAGGGATACAAGAAAAATATTCAGTCAAAGACTGCCACACAATACCCAAATGACCAGATACTAAGTACCTCCTTTCCACATAAATTACTTTAAAAGTTGTTTACCAGTAGAAATGTATTTCTTTTAGTTGTTAATTAGCTTGTATTATAATTCCCATAGGGGCAATCAGACCCTTTATAAACCACTCCTTGTTAATATCACACCACTTGACGCCGACCAGTTTACTCGAGGCTATTTTTCATTTCATTTACCTTTGTTATTTTGTTTATTGTATCATTTCAGGTTACTTTCGACTGCTTCTTCCTGTTTTTGTATCTTGTATTTACTACTATTTATCACGATCCTTGTATTTAGCACTATTCAATGTAATGCATAGTAATGTAATTTTTATAGTATTTTGTATTGTATTGTAATGTAATGTAATTTTTATAGTATTTTGTGATAGTAAGTTTAGGTGTCCCCGATTAGTGGCACGCTAGAAGACTTCGACACATTAATAAAGTTGTTATTATTATTATTATTATTATTATTCAAATCATTGTTAATAAACTCGATAATTGCTGGCGGCTTCCTCCACAAACTGTTGTGTTGTTTGCGTCATTACTTATAATAGAAATGTTTTCTATTCGGCTGAGCGAAGCGAAAGAGAATAGAACAGAAACTAATTTCAGCGTACGTGCCACATGATTCCTTTGAAGGAAACCGCAACACAAAAGATTATTTGCCGAAGTAAGGGCTTAATAGAGCTTAGTACACAACCTCGTTCCCAGGGTCTCTCATCTTCCCGCCCCTCGCTCCAGGGGGCGGGAAGATGAGAGACCCTGGGAACGAGGTTGCTTAGTACATTATTTATTCAGTAGGAATCTAGCGCGAAACGTGACGTATTTACCAGGTGTAATTCTTAGTATGGTCTCATATCAGAAACAACAAGATCAGCAGAAAACTCGCTAAAAGAATAATATTCAAAGGCAAGAATGAATTGTCCAGGAAAAGATAAGCTTGGTCCAAACGTTACTCTACCCACTGAAAAACCGCAGAAATGTAAGTCGGATAAACAAAGGTGTCACTGGAAACAGGTGTCACCGGATTTTGAGAAAGTCATTAAGAGAATTACTGATATCAGTGAAACCAACAGCTACAACCATAACAAACTGATCCAGAATATAGATTAAGCTGAGAACTGAGTGTAAAGCGTGGAAAAGATCTAGCTCTTGAAATTAAAAATCACACCCTGAAAGATATCAAAACCCAAAAACTCATAACAGCAAACTAGCTGATATGCCAAATTATTACTACGCGTTTTTATGTAGAATATTTCCAATTTTGTTCTTTTACAATATTCAGGATCACATTCACAGGATAACTCCATCGTACCATCTTCTCTTGTTTCTTTCCAGCTCGTTGACCCGTTCTGACAACCAAATTCTCACCAAACCCCACCTAGTCCAGTCCCTGAACTCTCTCTTAACCCCGCCCATAGGGACTGGAACCCAGCGTTCCAGTCCCTATGGGCGAGATTAAGAGAGAGTTCAGGGACTGGACTAAACCCCACCAAACTCCGATATTGTACGTTGCCGGATCGATTCGACTCGTTGTTTATCGAGGAGTTTTAAAAGGTAGTAAATTAAAAAAAAAAAAAGGTTTAAGAGCATTTTTTTTCAAATAGTTGATTCAGAGACCCAGTCTGACTTTTAAAATTGACTTAAACCCTTGAATTCCCATTGGAACATAGGTCGTCCACCAGAGATCTCCATCTTCCCCTGTCCTTGGCAACTCTTTCCAGTTGGTTCCAGCTCAGTCCAGTTTGTTGTGCTTCACCCTCAGTTGAACTTCTCCATGTTGTTCTGGGCCTTCCCCGGTTCCTCTTTCCCTGAGGTGTCCATCGAAGGGCATACCTGGTCACATTGGCAAAAGGCTTTCTCAGAGTATGACCCAGTCTACCATAGCCCAAAAGTTCTACTCCAAAAACTAAACGGAATTTTGTCACTTATCAACAGTATCGATGTAGCAAACCTAACCGGGTTTCAAATGTCTATAACTAAAGAACGAATTGAATAAAAATGAATGATTATGGCGAAGGTGTAGGCTTCAATTTTCAAAAACAAGAAAGCGAGGCTTCTTAGGAAAGTAACGCCGCCCCCCGAAAGTAGCGGCCCCTTCAAAAATCCAGGGGGAGGGTCGAGGGGATCCGGATCCCCCTAATCAGACCTTAGGGTTTTTTTGCTTTCTCCCTTATCCTTAGCAAAACCATCTCCAGGATCCACCAAAATGCACTTTTCAAAGCCTGAAATCTCAATTTTTTTTTTCTGGGGAGGCCCCCAAACACCCTCTCCGCGCCTTTACTACCTGCTGACGTCTACTTCCAAAAATTATCCTTCAATCTACTTCACATTTTTTGGAAGACCCTGCCCCCCCCCCCCCCCCCTCCCTATCAAAAAAATCCTGGATCCGCCCCTGGCAGTATATGGCCAAAAAAATACAAATACAACTTGGCAGTGAATTGAATATCGTAATTGAAAAAAAAGTGTTAGAGATCCTTAAATGATGCCAATAATTTTCCATTGAGATTTATTTGAACCATCTTTCCCAAATGCAAATGGAAACTACAGTCGAACCTCCCGTAAGCGGACAGCCTCGAGGTGTCCGAGTGGAATTTATTTTTAACTTGGCTAACTTGGGCTAGACAGGTTCTTAAAAGTTCGCCCCAGGTATTTTTTTCTCGGTTTATTCACCTGAGAATTCGGCCACACCGCCACTATTGCCGGTCCAATCTTGCCCACTCACGTCCCTTTCAGAAGCCTCTCAGAGGAAATTTCGCTTGGTTTAACTTGCGTTAGTCAGTCATTCGCCACCTTAGAAACGAGAAGCATTCTGGAGCGAGTCGCATCTCGTAGTCACTTGTGGGATACCCTGGGTGCCAGAGAAATTATTTTCCTTTTTCCTTTGCGCGAACTGTAAGCGGCGAAGCCGCGACAACGAGCCACAACGTGGCGAACGAAAAAAAAAATTCGCGTCGTCGGCCGGCATCGCGCTTTCGTCCTTTCGTCGCTCCTCTTGCGAAGAAGAAAAACCTCTGGCACCCAGGGTACTTGTGGGACCGTTACTGTGGACAAAATGGCGACCAGCTTGACGACGCGTCCCCAGTAGGCCTGTCCCGATTGTGCTCGTAAAATGCTGAAAAGTTGCTCACTGGAATGCCAAAAAGTTGCTAAAAAATTGCCAAAAATCCAAAAAGTTGCTACCTAAAAGTCCGTCGAAAGTCGATGATCTTCGTTAACCATCGGAAGTCTTCGGGTGATCTTCAGCAGTCTTCGGATGATCTTCGTTAATCGTCGGAAGTCTTCGGCAGTCTTCGGATGTTCTTCACCTGTCAATCACTCTAAACATTAATGAAACGAACTTTAAAAAATTCCGGCGGAATTCCGGATTGTGGGTTTTCCACTGCCTTTTTAGCTTAGCATTCGCGCGCATACGCGACGGATGAGCTTTCGGGTTTACGGGGAAATTTTGGCGTTTGTAAACTTTTCTTGATAATTCCGCTGACCAGTGTATAAGGCCTGGGAAATCACAACACTAAAAAATATTGCGGGCGCAATATTTGGT